GATTTAAGTTTAGGATTTAGGGTTTTGGTCTGCAGAAATGAGAGCTTCTCAGCTTGGGGGGGTCTTGGGGACCCGGGAGGTAGAAGAATAGACAGCCGTTGTTTGTCCAAGCCTCCCATATCTTAGAGATTTGTACAGGCCTCTTCAGCCAGGGGAGCCAGAGGGTTTGGAGTTCATGGCTTGGGGTTTGGCTGCAAGAGGCTCTCTTTGAGGGACTCTCGGTCCATTAGTGACCCTTTGTAAGTAGGCTTCCTAAGCCAATAGCAACCCTGGATTCCAAAACAGGAGAGGGTTTCAGGTAAGTAGTACCCAAGCTCCATGCGCCCCAAAAATGCGTAATGTAGGGGCCCTAACAACGAGAATAAGGTTTTGGGATCCATGATGCTAGAACAGAATAAGACTTATGAAGGGATCATATGAGCCTTTGTCTAAACTCCTAGGTTCCCTTTAATAACCCCTATGATAGCAGGCCTATATAATCCCCTCAATAACCCCTTAAGGAGTTTAGACTATCGTACATATGTTGGATAACTCAACCTCTTACAACAAGCCTTCTCGGCCTGAAATGCTTTGTGGGTGTGAAGTGATAACTTACATGCCCAACTGTCTGAGAGAAACCGGGTTGCTGTTAAGGAGTTTAATCTAACTTACTATTTTGGGAAACCCTACTAATTACCATAAATAACCCAGCGAGTGATCTAGCAACTGCATCATACCAAGCCTAAACAAGGTTTGTTCTTCGGACCAGAACATCTAGGTCATCAAATTCCGATGCAAGCCATTAATTGCCAACCTTCTGCAGCCGCACGGCTCAGGATTCCAGGGTTTTTGGTCACCTTAAGGCTGAACTGAACCCCAAGCCCGAAGCCCTAAACCCTAACCCCCCTCGCCCCAAACTTGAGGGCCCTCTTTGTCCTGCCGAAAGGTGGTTCCCTTTCGGGAGGAGCACTAGTGGTGGTAGTAGTGCAGTAGTCGTCACAAAGCTAAGCATATAATAAAAAGAATGATCACAATAAGAAAGGCTTTAGTGATATGAATGAAGCTATCACGGTTAGTATTGTAGTAATATGAATACTACTAATGGTGGCTGTAGCAGTTGATGTTGATGAAGCAGCCATGGGCATCTACAGATATCAACCGCCCTAAACTTTAAACCCTCCCAAACCCTTAATCCTAAACATTAAACCGTGAGCCCTAAACCCTAAACCCGCCTGGTCTAGACAGGTGCCGGGGCAAGGCCCAATCTTGAAGTAGACGGGCGCAAAGAACAAATAAGAAGACAGGAGCGCGATCAAGTTCGAGAGAACCCTAAACCCGTAAAGGTCGAGGCATCGGTGGAGCGCCAGCGGGGGTGGGCTAATGCAGATCAGGGTGCGCGCCTGGGTGCTTCCAGCACCAGCGCACCCCCTCACTGAGACACCCTAAACCCTAAATCCTAAACCCTAAACCCTAAACCCCATTCACAAGCCAAGCTTCTCCAAGTTCCCCTCAAAGCCGAAGCATGGGCTCCGAAACTTACGCCCCAGGGCACCGTAATCTTCATGTAGGTACGTGTAGGCCTGCTTTAGGGTTTAGGGTTTAGGTTTTAGGAGTTAGGGTTTAGGGTTTAGCGACCTCCCAAATAGTCATGAAAATTGTCTATAAACCCACTTCTCCGCGGTTCAAGGCCATTTTATTGGTACGTGAAATGTCTAGACACGAAACTCTAGGTTTTGAAGGTTCGCGGACGCAAGAGTATGTAAGGGCTAAGACAGGGAATGCAGGGATGTGTAGGTTCTGGGTAGCTCTAGGAGTTCGAGTGCAAGAATCATAGCAGCAATCGAATTTGGGCTCGCATGAGCTCAAGTGCGCTCACGAACCTAGAAATGCTACAAGAAAGACATGTCGCGTTTATAGCCTCCCTTAACTAGATATTATGTGGCCTCGGGTATACTATAATAGGATCCCCATATAATACCCCATATTCAATCTACTTAAGGGGGACTATAGGCTAAACCATACACCCTAAATAGTAGTTTCCATTTTCTTTTCCATTATCCCAGTATAACCCCTATAACCCCCATATCTGCGGACTATACCCAGCAGCCTGAACACCCTCAAAACGCAAGCACCGTGCAGCCTCATTGCTGCCAGTGGAAGCAAGGACCATGAGGTCTTGATACTGGCCCGGCTTCTTCAGGATCTTGCAATTCCTGCTGAGCCGCTTGATCCCCTAAACCCTAAACTTTAAACCCTAAACCCTTAGCTTTAAACTTTCAACCCCATTATCCCAATATAACCCTAGTATTACCCCAATGGGTACCTATATCCCCTAAACCCTAAACCCTAAACACTAAGATTCATGTGAGGCCATTCTTGGGGCAACTCCTTGCGCTACAAAGCCCAAGCCATTTTGGGGGGAACGGATTCTTTGAAGGAACCCTAATTTTAGTACCTTGTCCTGTGGAGGTACAAGAAATGCCGTGCAGCATCCGACACCCTGAGGTGGAGATTTTCTGTGAAGGTCTCTGAGCAGCCGCGGGCGTGGGTCCAGTCCGATTCAAGGCCTTGTCTGACTAGTGCAGCAGTTCTTGGGGTCTAGGGATTCTCCCCACCCACTGAGGGGAACCACAACGGATAATGATTTTGAGATTCAGGTCCATCTATTTTGCCTTTGTCCCTTTCCGTGGGTGCATGGATTACCTAAGATAATCCTAAGATAAAGCCGGAGTGGCCCTAGAAACTGTTGTTGCATATGACACGGCCCAGGCCTGCCACAGGTTGCCCTAATATGGACCCCAAAAGTTACACTGTTCCTCATTACGGGATTTCATGAAAATGGACCTATAGGCTTGCCCTGTGCGACCCCCCAGCCCCCCAAAACGGATCCCGGTTTTCTTTTTAATCCCACATGAGTAACGTTTCTGGCGGTTGTAAGATTTTTTTCTTATATAAAAACTATACCCCAAAAGGAGGATGTAATCTTAATCTATGATGGGTACTGTAGTATCCTCAAATGAAATACTACTCGCATGACTTTCTGCTGACTTGTTGCACTGCAGCCAATACTCAGCTCGGTGGCAGGAGGCCTGTTTGCTGCTCAGCCATGGAAAAAAAGCGTAGGTCTGCATCATGAGTGTGGATTTACAAGAAGATGTTGTTAACCCCAAACCCAAGAATAGGACAGTATGACTATCATTCAATCATATGACCACAACAGGGTCCTAATTTTGGGCTTGGGGTTACCTAGTATATTCCTTAATATGGATCTTGCTGGCAATTTTCAATGAGATGTTTCCCTGATCTTTCTAGATTCGGAGGTTTGCCTAAATGAGGGTTACAATTTTTGAGCGTCCCAAGAACGAGGACTATAGCAGTTTGGGGGTCTACATTGGGGTCCCTGTATTTTTGGAAACCCTAAACCCTAAACCCTTAGAGCGTGCCTTGCTTCTACCTGCTGAAGAAATGGCCAGAAGAATCAGCGCACACGTTGATTAGGGTTTAGGGTTTAGGGTGGGATTTTGGTAATCCCAACCCCCCCAGAAAAATTAGGATCCTATAACCGTCATATAGGGTGAGGGGATTTGGGCTACCCCAACCCCAAAAATTAGAACCCTATAGCCATCATATGATAGTCATAGGATCCCAATTTTGGGGACCGGGGCTTACCAAAATCCTTTCATCAACGTTTGCCTTGCTCACGGACTCCAGGGCGCTGCACACACTGCGCATCCGAGCGGTGGCATCCTCTGTCTTATCGAAGGCCTCGGTCAGATCGCAACTGCCAGAACTTGATGTTTGGCTGGTCTCTGGAGCCCCTTGATAAATTGAAAGCTTTCTGCCTTTCCGGTGTGTGGATTACCTAGCAATCCCCTGTCTCTACTACCACCTTAGGCTCCCCCTTAAATATGCGGTTTAGGGTTTAGGGTTTGGAGATGTTTCATGCTAGTTTAGGAGGTACCGTACGAAATTTTAAGCACAAATTTTAGGGTGGCAGTATGCGGAGGTGCAGTTGGTAGAACCCTAAACACCCTAAGCTTACGGGTACTTTGTAGGGAGTCAGGGAATATAACCCCTATATCATCCTCATATAATATGCTCCCTTATTCCCTACTGGCCCCAGAAATTTAATCACCTCATGAGACGCAAAACGCTAAATCCCTAAACCCTAAACCCCTGAACCCTAAACTTCTAAAATCCCTAAACCCCAAATCCCTAAACCCTAAATCCCCAAACCCTAAGTCCCTAAATCCCTAAACCCTAAATCCAACAAGTGTTTTGAGCCTGTGGGAAGACCTGGAGCAGGGCTGTAAGCTCCGAGGTCAAGATCCTGGGGAAATGTAATTCAGGGCTTGGGGTTTCAGAGTTACAGGGTTCAGGGTTTAGGGTTGACGGTTTAGCGGTTTAGGGTTTTCAGGGTTAACGGTTAAGGGTTGAAGTTTAGGGTTCAGGGCTTTGGGGTGAAGGGCTACAGGGCTAGGGTTTAAGGGTTTAGGGTTTAGGGTTCTGGGTTCAGGGTTTGGGGGTTCAAGGGGTTTAGGGTTCAGGGCTTTGGATTTAGGGTTTAAGGGTTTAGGGCTTAAGGATTTAGGATTCAGGGTTTAGGGTTCGGGGTTTTTGGCTTTAAGGTTCAGAGTTTGGGTTTGGGGTTAAGGTTTACAGGGTTAGGGTTTAGGGTTAAGGGTTGAAGGGTTTTGGGTTTAGAGCAGGGTTCCGGGCTTTGGGGTTAAGCGTTACAGGGTTAGGGTGACGGGTTGAAAGGTTTAGGGTTTAGAGTTTGAGGGTTTAGGGTTTAAGGAATTAAGGCTCAGGGTTTCGGGGTCAGGGGTTACAGGGTGCTTGGGTTAAGGGTTAAGGGTTGGGGTTTATAGGGCTTAGGGTTGGGGTCTGGGGTTTTGGTTTTGGGTACGTAGTGTCGATCATACAGGTAGATGTCCAGGGTTTCTGGCGGCCTCGGGTCTCAGGTACGAGGGGTCTTTAGGGCTTGGGTTTAGGGTGTTGCAGGAAGAAGAGAGCTTAGGTGGACCCCCACCCTGCAATAGTGGTATGATAGGAATATAAGAGGGTCCTAATATGATCACTATTATCCCTTATGCGGTCACTATTACTTGGTGGAGGGTCTACCTAAACAAGAGCATACTACACGGAAGCTAAGGCAAGGCTTGAGTGAGTGTTCCCTCAACGCATAGCCTTGACTTCGCGCATAGGTTGGAAACTTCTGTTCAGGAGCTTACAAACGACCCCTTGCCGGCACACAGCGGCAGTGCCACTTGCAAATTCTACCCTACCCTACTGGTGGTTAGAAGGGAATGAGGGCATATATCTTATGATCTCTATATGGGGGTTCCCAAAATTAGGGGTACCATTTCAGGGGTCCCCATAGTAAGGACTATAGTATATTGGGGTCTATATTGGGGTCCCCTTATTTTGGGAAACTACCATATACTATGTTCCCTTATTCCCTACTAAGCCCCAGTAAGCTACACGCAAGCTGTAGGCTCTATAACCCTGTCTTGGAAGGCATCCAAGCCCGAATTAAAGCGTTTTGTAAGACAGCTCTATGAGTGGCTTCTACTTACTGGGGGTTACTAGGGTGTGTGGAAATTTGATATATAGGGATTATATTCCCGTATTCTTAACCACCAGTGAGTCTGGCAAATGGGGATCCCTTTTTGGAAAACGTTTTGAACAGAATGCATCTTACCGTGGGCTATGTAAGGAATCCCTGTTTGAGAAATGCCAAGAAGGCCAAGCGTCTTTGTGATCTCCTCGCGGCACTTATCTCGGCAATCCATCTCCTTAGTGCATCGGGTTAGGATTGAGGGTCCTGAGGTGCCCAAATGCGTGACATCTGTAGATTTACCAGCTACAAGGGAGCCAGTAGGACCCATGCAAGGTAGGGGCCGAAGAGTTGCGATTTTATTCTGTTGAGGCCTATGTGAGGTAAGCTAAACTAAAATAAGAGTATACGAGGAACTTAGGGCCATAACATCGGTCATTGTTTAGGCCCCTGTAGTAGGTATCTGCGGCCTGCTAAACAAGGAGAGGAATCTCCTACAAAGTCGCCTCCAGACGCCTTCAGGGGAGTCGTCCCTGCCCTAAATATACAAGCCCACATCGCAAGATGAGATATTACCTGAACAAACTGGTGCACTATATACCTAGCATTCGAGAGTGAGGGTTTGATATTGTGGGGAAGGGATTAGGTACGTTTCAGCACTGGTGCCTAGACCCTAGACCCTAAACTCTATAGCCTAAACCTTGAATCATATACCCGAAACCCTATACCCTAAACCCTAAACCCTAAACCTTATAGCCTAAACCCTGAACCATATACCCTAAACCCTATACCCTAAGCCCTAAACCTTATAGCCTAAACCCTATATACCCTAAACCCGAAATCTTCAATCCTTTCTCCGTTCACTCCTAGTCTCGCAGCGCACGATGGACAGCGCTGAGGACACTGAAACCACAGCCGTGGTGATGCGGGACTCCGGGTCCTTGGGTTTAGGGCTGAGGGTTGAGGGTTGAGGTTTAGGGTTTAGGGTTGAGGGTTTAGGGGTTTAGGGGTTCAGGGTTGAATGTATTAGGATGCAAAAGCTCATTCACAGAGGTTTGAGGGCTCAAACATTTAGAGTTCGTGGCAGGGTGTAACGCTCAGGGTCCAGAAAGGTCCCACAAGTCCGGTCCATATTCTAAGAACCAAATGGTTTACGTTTTGTTGTTTATGGTTTTGGGTTTGTGGGGTTTCTGGTTTAGGGCTTAGGGTTTTGACGGTTTAGGGCGGATAGTCGGTCACCTGATATTCCAAGCACTTCGGTCAAATGCCCGGTAGGGCATCCTAGACGGTTTTTCCCATAAGACCAACAGACATTACCCTCAAAGGGTGGGGTTAGGCCTTTTTCAAATGCTAAGCATCATATGAGGCACTTTACTTGCCTTGGTTCCAAGATTTGGGGGCCCTTGGCTGTGAATTCCCATAGGAAGGATTTTCTAAACCCTTCACCCTAAAGCCCCAAACTCCAAACCTTAGACCCCACTTTGATACCATGACATCAGTCCAGTCAAAGTTCTGTCACATGTGTCTGTTTAGGGTCTAGGCCTAAGCCCTTAACCCACAGAAGGGGATCCCAGCTCGAGGAAACTCCTCGAAAAGGACATGCGCAGGCCGACATGCCACTGGGCAAGCCGCTAATTCCCCAAACCCTAGGGTTTAGGGCTTAGGACCCTCAGGATATGTAGAAATTACTAACCCTTCACGGGGGGCCCTTATTAGGGCTGAAATGACGATCATTTTGAAGAACGCCACATGTCCGGGTTTCCTCCTCGATTAGTCTCAATAGCCTATAGTCCCCCCTAAGTAGATAGAACATGGGGTATATGGGGATATTCTTAACCCTAAACCCCCAAACCTTAAACCGTAAACTCTAAGCCCTAAATCCTGAACCCTAAACCCCAAACCCTTAGCCTAAACCCTGTAGAATCCCTTCCCTATTTTCAGAAATTTCCTTGTAAGTGCCCGACCAGGTTGGCCAAATGGGCGGCGAGAGCTGTCCGAAAGGTCTCTTCCGAGGACTCCTGAAAGTTAGGGTTTAGGGTCTAGAGGTTTAGGGTGTGGGGCTTTAGGGTTTAGGGTTCGGGGTTTAGGGTTTGGGGGTTTAGGGTTTAGGGTTTGGGGGTTTGAGATCTATATAGGGTTTGGGGTTTATGGTTGATGTTGGCATCAGCATCAGTATGCTACCACTACTGTTCTTAGTATGCGTAGCACGGTCATCTCTACGAATTATTGTTGTTACTATGTGCAGTATGGCAGATATCTCTGTTATTCTTGATGCCATTGTTGTTCTCGTTCCTACTACTAGTATGTAGCCATGGCATCTGAGGGTTATATAAGCTTTGTTTTAAACATCCCTTTGTACAGTTTTGGGTTGAGGGTTCAGGGTTTAAGCTTCGGGCAGTTCCCCAAACCCCCAATCCCTAAACCCTAAACGGGGTTGAGGGTTGAGGTCGCAGGCCCTTGTCCTGTTTACAGGGGGCTGTATGGGGTTCCATGTTTGTTTCGGTGAGTGAAAGGTTTGGGGTGTTGGGTCGGGGGAATGGCTGAAGCAAGTAGGATTACATTCTTCTTGCAAAACCAGCAGAGGAAAACAATCTTCCTCTACATTCGGAGACCAAGGCATCCTATCTGAAGGACACCAAATCTGCAATCTGGGGGCTTCTCAAAATTATTGGTTTTGGGCAACATATGGGACTTGGCCTAAACTACCGTTCCCGAAATGAGGGAAAGTCATACAAGGATCCGTAATGTAATAGGAACCTCACGACGGGCACCCATATCATATTGAGTTTAAAGAAATTCCCCTATGGACACCTAAAGTCTGGGAAGTTCACATCTACAACAGTATGAACAACAAATCGGCAGAGAAAGCCCTTCCTGTTGTCGCGAGAGCAGACAGTAGGACAAAATAGTGCGGCCCGTCTTTGGCAAACCTGCGCCCGATTTTGCGGGATCTTGCTGTGTAGGGCTCAGAACAGTCAACCTGGTTTGATGTTGCTGGGATGAATTGAGGTCGCAGATAGCGTTGAGGTAAGATCGGATTAACCGATACACTGATACACCACATAACTTGCGTGACATCCCACAGCTTCGAAGTGCCAAAGTGTATCCGACATGAATACACTTTACGAACATAATTCCCGCGGCTTCAAAAGTGTCAGCATACTCAGGCTTAGGTAGACGCGTTTCGGAGCCCTAAGCTTCCAGGAAAGCAAGCCATAAGTGCAAGGTTCAGGGTTCAGGACCCTAAACCCTAAACCTCCAACCCTAGAACCCGAAATCTCAAACTTTAAACCGTTAGGTTTTAGGATCTCGAAACTCCAGCCACAAGCACCGAAGCATTTGCTATGAAGCCCGAGGTCCCAAAACATACCCCGTCCGAGAGGCCCAGACCCTCCGAACTGTATTTAGGGTTTAGGCTTACGGGCCCTATTGACAGAACAGTAACCTATGTATGCACTTTTAGGGTTTCATCTTTCTTTGGGGAGGACGCAGCTGCCAAGCCCAAGACCACTACCCTTCTCTGACTGGCCAAATAGCAACCTCATGCCGCTGTACTCCTAAGATCCATAGCACCCCCAACATAACTAAGGTCTAGGTATATAAGTCTCCCCTCACCTCTAGGGAGAGATGGGTGTTAGAGTGGGGGATAGAACAGAGGATCCTATGAGCAATCCTGGCCTCCCTCAAGCTTATAAAGCCCTCAGCCCTAAACCCTAAACCCTCGACCCTAACTCATGAACCCTTAACCCTGAACCCTTAACCCTACATCCGAAACCCCGAACCCTAGGCCTTTGCTGAAGTCTTTCCGAGGAAGTCTGGGCATGCCCAGGATCAAGCGGATGGCGTGGAACCACACGGTGGTCAAGAAGAACCTAAAATTTAGGGCTTTGGGCTCAGTGTTTAGTTTTTGTTTGTCTTTTCTTCGCTCCTTTCCTATCCGAAGGGCAGGGTTTAGGGCCTAGGCTTTAGGGTTCAGGGTTTAAGACTAGAGGAAAGTCGATAAGGTTCATCCGACGTAGGATTTAGGTGTTGGCGAGGTCAGGGTCTAGGGTTTAGGGTTTAGTGTTTAGGACAGTCAGGGCTCAGTCCCGAAGACATGGAATTTCACGCTGTTTTTCAGGAATTTGGAGCCTTCCTACAATCGAAGGTGCCAGGTGGTGTCACAAAGTGGCTACGAGCATTTCCTTGAATCCTAAACCCTAAACCCTAGTTTTTTGGGCCGCCATTTTGCCTGAGGTGAGTGCCGGGCTTCAGGACCTGGAGATGCTGTGGACATTACCAGAATAGGGTTTAGGGGTTTAGGGTTTTTTCTTATCGGGCTTTAGGGTTTAGGGTTTAGGGGTTTATGTGTTAAGGTTTTTTACAACCCCGTTGACACACCTTTGTCTAGCATACGCTCGGGGGTTCTTGTTGCCCAGTCGGTTCAGGGTTAAGGGTTTAGGGTTTAGGGGTTTAGGGTTCTTTATCGGGCTTTAGGGTTTAGGGTTTGGGGTTTTGGGTTGTGGGTTTAGGGGCTTAGGTTTTAAGGGTTTAGGGTCTAGGGTTTAGGTCTCTCGTCTGGGCAGGGTGGCCAAGGCAACAATTGGGTGGGTTTAAAATTTGGGGTTTAGGGTTTGGGGACTTAATTAGGCTTTAGGGTTTGGCGTTTAGGGTCCGCATTCACATGTATCCGGATCCAGACTGGGGCCTCGGACCCCGCCACATACCGTCTATTACACAGAACAGACATGGATGTTTCCCAAAATGAGGAGTACCGTTTTGGGGGGATAGCATTTTGGGGTCTATGTTGGGGTCCCCTCAAAGATGGAAACTACCACATGACAAATGGGAGACGTTTGAAAACTTTTGAACAAATACCCCCACGGCTTGCTTGGTGGAAACCCGTAAGAGCGCTGGGCAATCCCAACAAACCCCAGGGTCCCCAAGGGCCCTCTGCTTTGATAAGCCCCGGTTGCTAATGTTACAGACAAACCTGCACTAAGCCTGTCATTAAACCTGGCCCCGGCACCAAGCCCTCCCCTGAATTGAGAGCCACCTCCTTTTGACAAGGATTACCAGTCTAATACCCTAGGTGGAACTCCCGCCCTGTGATAGTGGTATAATATAGGAATATGAGAGGACCCTATTTTGGCTACTATTAGCTATGGTCACTATTGCTGCGTGAGACGTGACCCCCCACCTAACTAATACGATTCTATGATGACAGTTGTCATGATGGTGGCATTGGGAAGGTGACGGCCCTGCGGGGACGCCATCAGAGATTTAGGTTTACTCAGCTTACCGCGTTACTTGGGGAGCTAGTGCAAAAGTCGTACTAGGGTGGTCGACTACGTCATTCAGACCAGAATCCTCAAATACAGGATTGTTGAGGTCTAGGCGTACCATTGCGCGTCGCGATCCGAAATAATTCGCAACTGCCACAGTTTCTGAAGATTATAGCTCTAGCCATAGAATCCTAAACATTCTCAAGCGGGAACTCCACAGTTCCCGTGTACTCCCACCAGAATCCGGGGGTAGCTAGGGATACCCCCATTCGGAGAAAAAACTTGAAATTGGGATACCTTTTCAACACGTCTGTTGAATTTCTCTGTGTACTTGGGGCCTTGCGCGACTTTGTAGGGTTCAGGGCTGTTAGGACCCAAGAAAGATGCGATCTTGAAAAGATCCTGGGTTGCTGTTACGGAACTTAAAATTCAACTTCTTTAGTAAGGAAACCCTATGAGCTAGTATATACCCACAATATGGCAACTTACGCAAATTCCATAACAGAACCCAGGATAGGCAGGGCCTCAGGACGACATTCCTAGCTCGATGGTGTATTTTCTCCTGCCGATTTAGGAGTTAGGCGTTACTCAGAGTTTCCCTAAATAGAAGGACCACAATATAGACCGCCCGACTACTAGAATCCTTATTATACGGACCCCAAAAAGGTAGCCCTGAGTTTGGGAAAACCAACTTATACCCTCAACCCTGAACCCTAAACCCTTATACCCTCGACCCTGACCCCTAAACCCTCATACTCTGTAAGCTTATACCCTCAACCCTGAACCCTAGTGCTTTATGCTGGAAGCAACCCCCAAATCATTCTGCTGCTTCAAAATCCTAAATCGTAAACCCTGATCAGGCTTATAAGTTTGGCCCGGGCCGAAGAGCGAGTTGGGGGAGTGAATCACTTGTCGATCTCTACAAAGCCCCCCAGAATGAAATATTTAGGGTTTAGGATTTAGGGCTCGTTTTTGTGAATGGTTTGTGGTTCGGGCTTGAGGGATAATCCCCTGCAATAATTAGGGGGTTTCCCAAAATTAGGGGTACCATTTTGGGGGTCCCAATGATAAGGACTATAGTATTTTGGGGTCTATATTGGGGTCCCTCTATTTTGGGAAACTACCAATTGTATTCCTCCCACCACGCCCCTTTCTGCACTAACAGGTCCTAGGACTTCGGCCTAGGACGTAAACCCTAAACTTAAACCCTAAACCCCCAAACCTAAACCCTAAACCCCAAAACCTTAACCGTAAACCCTAAATCCCAAAACCCTAGACCTTAATCCTAAACCCGAAACCCCAAAACCTTAACCGTACACCCGAAACCCCAAAACCTTAACCGTAAACCCTAAACCCCAAAAACCTTACCCTAAAGCCTAAAACCTTAACCCCAAAACCTTAACTCTGCATGAAGCCTAAATAAGCCTAGAGGCTCAATGATGCTCCACAAGCAGAATGCATTGGCCACAACGTAGACCAACCCGATGAAGAAGTTAGTAGTCGTGCCTTCCGCCTCAAACACGGTTCAGGGTCTAGGGTTTAGGGCTCGGGGTTTAGGGTTTAGGGCTTAGGGTTTTGGGTTTTGGGTCTAGGGAGTCTGAACTCCGTAAATGGGATTATATAGGTGAGTACTATAACGGTTTTGAAGGCGGCTACTACTGTACAGTAGGAGTTTAGACTATGGCTCACATTGGGCTTCATAACATGGTGGATCCGAGGCTGTAGAGTTTACTAGGGTAGGTTTGGGGGCCCTTGAAAGTTCACTTCGTATGGCCTTGTCAGGATTATGAAGGAATCAAAGGATAACAAGATTTAAAAATGGGTTCAAACCTACCCCTGTTTAGGTTTTAGGGTTTAAAGTAAACCCGGTAGGCCCCGAGTGTTAGGAACCCATGATACTGGGATGTTTTGACATTCAGCTCCAATGCGACAATGTCCAGAGTCGCTCTGTGTGACCCCGAATAGCCATGCAAGATGGATAGCCAAGGCTCAAGGCGATCTGAATCTTAAACAGTTCCACATCCCGCAACATGAAACCAAGCAAGGTCTTGCAGATAAACCCTATATAAGCCCAGCTTCCTTTTCCTGTGCATTCTGCATTGTTGGGGTACTTGCAAAATGGTGGCACCAAGGGCGAAGTTCTGCCAAGAGGCCCAATACACGAAGAACGTGAAAGCATAGGTTGCCCCGCACGACAGCCTTGCGTAGAGGGAAGGACGATATCATGCATGAATTACTGCGTGCAGTACCAAAGCAACTCAGGTGTGTAGCAAGTATTGGGATATGACACACACCAGGCATGCTGGGCTTGTTCTTGTGTTTGGAGACCCCACGATTTGAGGCCAACCCACCCCACAGAGGCTCATACTTGTTCGTGGCTAGACGCGAGCCCTACATCAAAGACTGGATTTATGCCCCAGGCGCAACACCACGAAGAAAAGGAAAATCCAAGCTGAGCATGGCGTTGCCAAGTTCGAAGCCCAAGTGTTCTTCGGGTCTCTCCTTGGGCAAGCACGCTGCTTCTTGGGTCAGGCCGAACCCCTGCAACAATGCTGGACTACGAGAAGCAGCAGCAGCAGCGCTGGTGGCAGCGGCAGCGGCGGCAGCAGCAGCAAGCAACAGCAGCTGCGGCAGCGGCGGAAGTAGTGGTGGTAGCAGCCGTTGTCGTGGTGGTCATTGTCGTGGTGGTCATTGTCACGGTGACAACTGTGGTGGCAAATGTCCTCATCCTCGTCTTCGTCCTCCTCATCCCCTTCTCCTCCTCTTCCTCCTCCTCGTCATCCTCGCCCTCCTCCTCTTCCTCCTCCTCATCCGCGTCATCCTGGTCATCCTCGTCTTCGTCTTCGTAGTTCTCCTCGTCCTCCTCCTCCTCCTCCTCATCCTTTTCGTCCTCGTCCTCGTCCTCTTCGTCTATTCGTCCTCGCAGTCGTCGAAGTCGTCCTCGTCGCCGTCGTGGGGGCGGCGGCGGTGTTGGCGGTGATGGTAATGATACAACAAAGATTAAGGCCAAAAGCTTGGGCAGCCCAGTCGCTTCCCCAAAAGCCTCCTCAGACAGTTTGAGTCATCAACTTCCTGCACAGGAGATGGGTGGGCAACATTCTGAGGCCCACGTCTGAATCTTCACAACCTAGCACTCTTGTAAGACTCTGATGTTTTCTTGGAGAGAGGACCTTCTCATCATCCTGATCCTCCTCTCCAGGCATGGGAAGTCCATCTTCCAAGCCTTGGAAAATTTGGGCCATGCATGAGGCCTCCCCAACGCAACATCCCAACCCCCAGGATATGAATATGAATAGCAAATACCCCCAACCCCCCACCACTAATATGAAATATTTGCCCATAGAAAAATTCTGTGCTAGGGGCAATCTTTAGTTTGGGGTGGGGGGCATTTGAAGTTAGTTCTTCGGATAAGAGTATTTTGTTTGGCTTAGGGTTTATAAGTGTTGCGGATTAATTTTGGCTTTGCCTAGCAGATCCTCTTTATTCAAGCCGGGATGCTGGAAGCAACTGGGTTGCCCTCGGTGGGGTGCCTGAGCCCGGGGCGAACAGAGAACAAGATGCTCTAGGGTTTAGGGTTTAGGGGCTTAGGGTTTAGGCGTCGGAACAGTAATAAGACGAAGCAAAAATAAGAGCAGTATTCAATAGGATACCAGTCAGAATAGTAAAGGTGCAATGGCCATAACAACGAAACCCTAAACCCTAAACCAAAAAAACATCCTCCTCCTCCTCCTCATCATCATCATCATCAAAAGACATGCTCCTTCAACCTGCAGGTGCATAAGGGGAGTGGTGAATACGGGGGCCATCAATTTATGGGGGGTAGATATAGGGATATATAGGTATTAGTATTAGGGTCCACTGCCCTCCTCTCCCTTAGGCACCAGCTCCTAAAACCCTAAACCCTAAACTAAAGCGGCCTTAAACCTTAAACCCTAAACCCTAAGGTCACCAGCAAGTCACTGCCAGGCACCCTAAACCACAAACCCTCCAACCCTTGCTCCTCCAACCCTAAACCTACCATCCAACCCTCCAACCCTCCAACCCTCAACCCAAAACCCAAAACCCAAAACAGCCAAAGAGCCGAAACTTCTTGGGCTCAAAAGGCTTGTGCGGCCGTGCCAACCCTACAAAGCTGGCCACGAAGTACCTGGGCAGAAGGTTTAGGATTTAGGATTTAAGGCTTTATGTTTAGGGTGTAGGGTTTCGGGTTTAAGGTTTCAGGTTTAGAGGTTAAGGTTCAAGGCTTAGGGGTTCGGAACCTATCTGGTGCGATGATTTGTAAGCGCAGCTGCTGTGTGATGAGGCTGACAATGACCAGAACCCAGAAGGTGTAGAAGAAAATCCTGGGTTGCTGTTCAGGAACCTGAATTAAGTCACCAGAATATGGGTGTATAGTAAACCATAGGGCTTCCTCATTATAGTAACTTACTTTGAAATCCTTAACAGTAGCCCAGAATCTGGCAGGATGATCTTGCGGTGCACCACTGAAAGCCTTGCGGACGAGCTGTTGTGAAGGAATCGAAACCAAGCCATCATAGAGATGTACAGCACAAGCTGTGGTTTCAGATTGTACATAGTGTATGCTTAGTATACTAGATTCTACCATAATAAATGTTACAATCTTGCAGTATGTTGTTTAATATATTATACTCTACCAGAATATAATATGGTATACTATAACATAGCATCCTTCATTCCACCCCAGAAGCCTGCACTCACATGATAACAATGGGCTGCAATCTGCCATGTCCCCAAAAGTTTCGGCTCCCAGCTAAGGCTCTATGTATGTAGGCAGGACCCCCAACCCTGTAATGGTGGTACAATAGGACTACAAGAGGAATCTAGTGTAATCCCTATTATCCCTTATAGGAATCATAGGACTACAAGCGGACGCTAATGTAATCCCTATTATCCCTTATAGGAATGTCTTTCCCTGGTCGAGGGGCGGTTCTGCACCAAGAGCCCGTAGACCAAGGCACCGTTGAGGCCGTCCTGTCCCAGCACACATTCTCCGCAAGGCCACCTACTTGCTGGTGTTTAGTAGGGATTATGGGAATACAATCCCTATATAAGTCCTATGTGATTTATTCGCTTATTCCCTACCAGACCCTGGTAACGCCGACTGTACACTTGACCCACATGGCCGGAAGGTACTGTCAGCGAGTGTAGGATGCTCTCCCTTGGTGCGAGCTAGCACTTAGACGTCACTGCATTTGAGACATTCCCCAGCACAGTATGATTATACATTGGGGTGCGTATTTAATGCTAGGAGGGTGGAGGTAGATTACTGGGCAAATCCAAACAACTCTTACATAGATTATTTGGTGTTGCTGAAGCTCCTCCGTCCATGCAAAGTAGATGGCTTGCACGGTCACGTGGGCACCAGCCGCAGCTCCTGAGACACCGGCCAGGAAGTGGCTGAGCTGCCGGGGCCAGCGCACACCTGCAGCGCATGGATCCCACAAGCCCTGCTGTAACCTTCATAACTGTCACGGAATGAAATTCCTCACTTAGTTCGGAGCAAGGCACAAGCGTGGCCAAGGAACATCCCCAAGCACAAGAGGTAGATCGCGATGACACAATCATTGCCGCCTGTTAAGCCATGCCAAATGCCTTCCCAGGGGTCTGGTTGCCAGGGCGGTGTGAAGTTGTCCACGGAGACCACCCACCAAGTGTAGATGGAGTAGACACCCCAAATCTGTAGCACCAGTACACCTGATATGCACATCAGACCATAAAATACTGAACACCCCCCACCCCCTAATATTACATATTCCCCCCATAAGACACATACTTTTTGAGCTATAGTCCAGACTCCTAGTATCCCCCTTAATCAGCCCTATAGTAGTTAGTCCCTATATAATCCCTTATAGAACCACCTATAATGAGTTTAGACTACAGCTCATATTGGGGCAAGGCACCAACTGGCTCCGAGAGGGCGCAAAAGAACGCGCCACTGACCCCAGTTCCGATGCAAAGCCCAATGGCGCGGACCCCATGGCCAAAAGGATTGGCCTGAAGATCGTTTAGGGTTTAGAGGTTTAGGGGTTTAGGGTTAAGGGCTGATGGGTTCAGGGTTTAGGGCTTAGGCAGCAGGAGAGAGGAAAGTTGCAAGAGGATAATCAGAGGATCATGTTAGGCACAACCCGTTAGGGTTTAGTCAAGTAACTTCATTTTTTCTACTATATTGGGGAAACGATATTCTCATATTATGGCACCTTAATTCAAGTTCCCTAACAGCAACCCGCTTAGGGTTTAGGGTTGGTGTACGTAGAGAGGAAGCTCTGGCTCTGGATCATGGCCCTAGTACCCTGCAAGCCCAAATGAGCTGTAGTCTAAACTCCCAAGAGGCGATACAAGGGATTATGTAGGGGAGTAGTATAGGGGTTATTAAGGGGGATACTAGGAATTTCGACTATAGCACATGTAGAGGCAAACCATACAATCTGGCATATGGGGGTTTCCCAAATAACGTGTACCTTATTCGGGGGTCGTACAATAAGGACTCTAGTATTTTGGGAACTATATTGGGGTCTCCCTGTTTGTGGAAACTATCATATCTAGATATGCATATATGCACATGTTGCATTGATACCTATATACTAGGATTTGTATACCTTTTTGTGCACATATACCATGAAACCTCAACATGTTTCTTAAACCATGTATGCATATGAGCTATAGTCTAAACTCCTAGTATCCCCGTTAATAAGCCTTTTTGTAGTCCCCTATAGAATACCCTATATAACCCCGAAAAGGAATTTAGACCATAGCTCATATAATCGCATATATGTGTCGTGTAACTACCTGAGTTAGCATCCTCATACTGCGTGCCCAGGTTGCGGGATCAGCGGCATTCGGCTCTTGAAGCAGAACCTGCAAGGATGAAGGGAATGTGGATTCAGGGTTTAGGGTTTAGGTAGGGGTCAGGGGTTAGGGTCAAGGGAGTTAAAGAAGTCAGGGTTGAGATTTGGAAATCGGAAACCACCTCGAATTGAAGGGTCTCAAAAAGAAAAAAACTGGAAAATTAAACAGAAAAGAATATGGAAACTGCGCTTATACTGGGGGCTTACGCGGGTTGAATGCAGATTCCGAAGAAATCAAAATAGGGGTTGGGTGTATATCCGAGGCTTTAGAACGATTCTGGCGGAACGATATTCGTACCTATACAGGCTTGTACGGTACCCCCAAACTGTTTCAGTTCAGACATAGTGGCAGATGAGCAGAATGGCGACTGGAAATTGGCAATTTCAACAGAAAGCGTAAGGAGGGAGTCGGGTTATAGGGGGTGGGTACCAGGAAGCCTGAAGGAGCCTTGCGTAATACGAGAGAGGCTTAGCTTAACTAGTATTGGGGATTACTGCTCTAGCATACGGATTGAACCACCGCCCCCTTATTGGACATGATAAGAGTCAGCCGCTTACTTTGCCGCGGTGCTCAGGCTCACCTGGTCTCTAAAGAAGCTATTGCGTGCACATAATTGCAGCAACCTTCGTTATTAAATTGTGTAGCATAAGTTCCCGGAGCATTGGGCTTAGGAAGCTCAATAAGCAACAAAGAAGCAGGAGGAAGAAGATGGCCCCCTTTTATATATCCCCAAAACAATTCCATCTGTTTCATACGGGCTCCCAACTGGCACCCCCAAAACAGGGAAACCTCTTGGCTAAACTTTTGCAAGCCTAACCCTGCGTTATGCAAACCTTCGAAACTAATGACCATCAATCACTTAGTTCTAAACATCCCCACATGAAGAATAAACATAACGCCCACGGTTTGGCCGCCTGACTCGTGGCTTGGCTGAGGGCGACAAACCCGGCAAAGAGCCGGATCCAAAAACTGAGGGACCTTGAAAGGTTTAAGGTTTAGGGCTTTGGGTTCAGGGTTTCAGGGTTTGGGTTTCGGGGCTTTGGGGCTGCAAATGTGAGGTTTTGGCTTAGCGCGGCTTTACACCTAGGAATTTCATTCCATCACGGCCTTCCGGTCAGCTTGTGAACAACAGCCTAGTGGCAGCCAACGCTTCGAAAGCGCGTGATTCACATTCAGGTGGGAGCTCCGCTACAAATAGCGAAATTCAAGCTACGGTCAACACGTTACAGACAGCACAAAAAACGAATTCCTACACACTCTTTACACTGCACAAGCATGGTTTTTAACTCAGTGGTCAACTCATGGAAGAAGGCTTTCTGAGAGCTTTCAGTTGCTGATCTCACCTGTGCGCAGGTGCATTAGGGACGTGTCGCATCGCGCAAGCTGCCTCACTGACCAGGCGCCGAGCAGGTCAGCGTGCCAACAGCCGACAACTGGGCCCAAGTTCCAACTGCGGCTCCCATTTGCTCCGAAGGCAAAGGGGTTGCCGCCGATGGATTCGGATGAAATCACAACCAGCAAGAATCTGCAGCGAATGTAGCCAAATTCCTGAAGATAGATCTTCCATGGGTAAGCAATCCCAGCCAATAAAAATACGAGTGCGTTCCATGTAATCGAAAGACATGTGGCCGGAATACCGCACACCGCGTAAGCATGCTTGACAAGGCCGCTTCATGGCCAGATTTGAGCTGCCTTTCCCACCCAGCTTCCCAGTATAGTGTTCACATTAGCACACTGCCGTATATGTCTGCAGAACATACACCCGGCGGGGGGAAGGCGGCGGTCGAAACACAAAGGCTTACGGCCACAACGATTTCTTCAAAAAAATGCACACATGCCTGGTCACGCTGCCTCATGGCCCAATTTGAACTCCTTTTCTCATCCACCTTCGCAGCTGGTTGTTCACCTTAACACACACACACACACACACCCAGATATATCTGCCTCACAAGCCAGAAGCTGGGGAGGCAGGATCGAGAGAAACCGACTAGAAACAACGTCTGTCCGCCATCGAAAAGTCTTTCCCTAGTCACTCCATGCACACACAATGTTTCACAATCAGCGGCTCCCATACGGCCACGGCATCGGAGCTCCGTCGGCACGACACCATGTTTCAGGAACTTCGAAGGCCCCTGTTGCCATCACTTGCAAACCCAGGAAAACAATATTCGGTCTGCGGGTCATGTTCTCTGAACTTGCTGCTACTGACCCCGGGGAATGTCGCAAAGGCATCCCATCACGGGGCCGCTGGTAGTGTAAAGCGAAGTGCCCTGCTGTACATTCCACTGCGTATGAGCTCCGCCGGCACGACCCCATGCTCCAAGATGACATGCGGCCCCGTCGCCCTTCATATGCATGGACGCGCCCTTACCTTGACTTGAGCTCTCGGCAAATCCGAGAATCCGAGGTGTTCTTCACAACTTCGAAGTCTAAATGGTATTGGAAGTAGTACACATGTGGCTCGAGGAAGGCAGTGAGTGTATGCAGGGACCATGGCATGCGCGCTGGTCAGGCAGGCCATCCAGTACGGGGTTAGAGTCATCGATGGGTTGATTCGAACCGTGGTGTTTGGACTCAAGAATTGCAGAGCGACTACAACAAGAGCAAACCGCATATCACTGCTGTGAGAGAGTGAAAGAATCCGCCGACCCCGCTCTGCG